CTCTCTCTCTCTCTCTCTCTCTCTCTCTCTCTCTCTCTCTCTCTATCTCTCTATCTATCTATCCATTATCTATCTATGACCTAGTGATGACCCAAAGTGCTGGGTCCTGTGAATATTGTGGGAACTAGGCATTCTGACCTTGGAAAACAAACTTTTGGTCATTTTCAGGTAAGTGTGAATTACTTTTACTAGGTTGTAATGGGACAAAAGGCAAAGTGTGTCAGCCTGCACCTCCCACCCCGCTGTTCCTACCCAGTGCTAACTGACTATCAGCAAAACCCCCCATCCCAGTTGCCATTCAGTGAACTGTCCATAGACACTAAGATTAGAAACTTGTATAATGTCGTTTGAAATCTAGTTTGATTTTAACAGTCAATTTTGGAATTGAACAGAATTTCTTAAACAAACATCAAATTTACTGTTAGAATTTTGGTTGTTCAAGAGCAACTTTCCCTCCTGCTCCTAATAGTTTTTTCATCACTATGGTAAAAACCAATCATCGATTTGACCCCATTAACTGTTAGCAAATCAGACGTTACGAAAACATTTTTTTAAAACTAAATTTTATTGGTAATCATTATCAGAATATACTGTTTTATTATACAGCGCAGTGAATGTTTATTGCAGAAAATTTTTGGCAAAAATTAAGAATGCTACAAAGCCCGTCTTAATACATTATTAAAATAAATCGTGTTTTATTTATGTTTATCTATATTACACACCATTATGTTTTTTTCAGCGTATTGAAACTGTGTATAAGTTTAGCACGTCTTAGAATTACATTTCTGTATTATGTATATTGCTGTTTGTTAGGTTGACTCTCAACAAAAACACTGTACACAGGCACACTTGCGTGCCTCTTTCTCTTTTGGTAATTGGTAATTGCTATGGAAATGTTAATTGGGGAGTGTGTTTGCGGCATGAGTCACAAGAAGACTGGGGGGGGGGATAGCTCACTTACATCAATGGGTATCACAATGGAGCTCTAGGTGGTACAGAGATCATGCTTTGGGGGTGGAGCCAATACAGAAGGGGGCTGGCCTAGCAGTTAGGGGAAGAGTCAGTGGAATAAGGTAGAGGAGACTTCTCCAAAACTCTCAAACCACCGATTACCCTAGGACTGTACAGGCAGGCTGCTGTCACAATGAGGAACACATACCTCAACAAAGAAGACAAAAAGGTAAGTTTAATATCAAGCCCTCTGTTAAGTTACCCATTTTTGTTACATTTTTATTTATTTATATTTGATATTTTTAAAATCTTTTCTTTATTTTTGTTTTTAACCTTTTTTTTTAGCTTCCCTCCTTTTATATTCCTAAATTTTTCTTAGAATTCCCCCCCCTAATTTTAGTCAAGCTCTGCTTCCTAATTTTACTCACCTCCTTAACTTTTCTCCCAAAATTTCTAACTTGTCAAAATTAACCTTTTTTTAGCTTCCATCCTTTTATATTCCTAAATATTTCTTAGAATTAAAAAAAAATTACCTAATTTTAGTCAAGCTCTGTTTCCTAATTTTACTTACAGTTCTCCTCCTTAACTTTTCTCCCAAAATGTCTAACTTGTCAACATTTTCCACTCTTTATAGTTCCTACGATGCCAAATGAGGCTACAGACTAAAGTTGTCCAATTTTTATTTTATTTTTTACTCAAAATTTATATTTTCTTTGTGGCTAACAACCTAAAATGTCTAACGTGTCCAGTGGACCTCTTTCATCTTTTGGATTAAAAAATACCTGGCACATACGAATCAGAATCCTTTCTGTTACCTGGACATTGTACTTCACACATCTCAAGTCCACTTTTTTCCTAGCTCTGCCATCTTGTATCCATGTCCAGATTGTTCACCATTATTCTAAACTCTTTGTTCTATCTCTCACTCTCTTTCTCTCTCTTGGTAGCTCATGAAGCCGGTGATAGAGAAACGCAGAAGGGACAGGATAAACCAGAGCCTTGAACATCTAAGGACGCTTCTCTTGGAGGCTACTCATGATGAGGTTGGAACTTAACTTGCTTATATTTTATAGCTCCATCATTTATATTTAAATATATATATTTATATTTTGGGGGATGAATGCTAGTTGTAAAATCTTCCCTGGTGTTCGGTTTTTCTAAAGGTCTGTTCCTAAAATGGGGCAAAGTAGAAGGAAATGTTTTGGTGTGACTTCAAAGGAGAAGTCAACAGAGCTCTACAGGGACAGAAGTGCAAAGTCAAAGGGCAGGAGACAAGCTGTCTCATTTCCTACTGCAATTAGCAAGTATATGTTAAAATGGTACAATGGTGTGAACGGCCATGTGAATGTTGGTGAAGTGTGCGGCCGCGGCATCTTCAATGTCCTAAGGCTCCACTAGATATTTTTGGCTTGATAGAAAAAATTAATGTTAATTTTTTTTTATAACCAACATTTTTATGTAAATTGCTATTATTATGAGTATTATTGGGTTCAGTTTTTCATCAAATATATCATATTTACATATGGTATATTATCCCATTTATCTGATTATCAAGATTATATAAAATGTCAATTAATTCATCCCATTTATTGAAAATGTTTGATCTTCATATGAGGCCAGCAAGAATCTGAAGACCAAATGAACACATTGTTTGTATTGTATGAGAAATATTTTTTTGTTGTAGTTAATTTTTGTTTGTAGTTAATATCTTATGGAGCTCTTCAGTTATTGCATGAGTACCATGCTTGACAAGTCTGTGAAGGTTCTCATTCATCCAGGTCATGGCATATCTGTAAAAAATAAGTCAAAGCAACTGCACTTGCTGTATTTTTCTTGAAGACGTTTCACTGGTCATCCAACCAGCTTTCTCAATTCAGTACAAGTCATTGTACAAGTCATTCTGATTTGAGAAAGCTGGTTGGATGACCAGTGAAAAATCTTCAAGAAAAATACAGCAAGTCCAGTTGCTTTGACTTATTTTTTACAGACATGCCGGAGAAGGAACACTAGATATTCTCAAAGACATTTAATTGTACAGTTAGGTTTTCGTTACATTTTAACTTTTGAATTAGTATCTGCTGCATAGCTAACATAGAAAAAAATATTAAATATCATTTTTTTTCCTGTATTAAAAAATAAAAATGATTAAGACATCCCCACCAAAATATTTTTTTAATTTAAATTTACAAGGAACAACTGGATAATAAAATTATTATTGTTATCATACATTTAAATAAAAACAAAAAAACGTGAAGTCAGTTTAAAAACAAAAACAAAAATGTTTTAATGGCATTGACTCAAACCTTTTATGGTGCTCACAGACCTTGGAGGTCAGTTGGACATAATCTGATCATCAGTTGAGGTCATTTTCAGCTGCTTTGGGTATAACCTTGCACGTTTGTAGCAGAACATGTGGCCAAATACTCCTGGCACCTGTTTATGCATGAAGGGAAAAATATAGATTTAATAATGTCTTTCTTTCTCCCTTAGATCAGTTGATTTTGAGTAGCTTTTAGTGACCATAGACATGAGGTTGTCACCAAATTGATGGCAATTGGGAACAACAAACAAGGATCATCTTATACCTTTGACCACCTCTGCAGGTCAACTGTCAGGGACCAGAGCACCTCTGGGTGTCACTGTGGAGCTGGAACCTGATCCTGCAGTTCCAGTGCTCGCCTGCAGGTGTCTCCCGGCAATTAGTCATCACCTTGTTCTGCTCTGGAAGGGTATTTAACCCCTCCCTGCAGTGAGGCCTGTGCTTCAGTAATGTTGCCATTGCCGGTATTCTGTTCCCTGTATCCTGTTCCTGTTGCCTGTATCCTGTTCCTGTTCCTGCCTTGTACCCTGACTTGGACCTGACTCCTGACCCTTGTGTCAGAGCACAATGAAAACCAGACAAGCAAAGGGTGCTAGATAAAACATTTATTAAGAACAGTGTCCACAGGAGCAAGCAGAATCATAAACCAGATCAAGCCAAAGTCAGGAGCCGGAGTGGGTAGTCGTCCAAGCCAGGTCAGGAACACAGAGATCAGCGTCATCAGGAACAGGAGCAGGAGCCAGGAAATCAGCTTTGCCAGGAACAAGCTAGGAGCAGGAGCCAGAGGAGAACGTCAGCCAGGATTGGGTCATACACAGGATCAGGATACTCAGAGCAGCAGGAATGCACTAGCAGGAAGACCATGCAAGGGCAAGGTCAGACTGGACTGAGTGGTTTATATATAGTGAGTGGGGTGACATCATCACTCAGAGACAGGAAACTCCCATCTGGCTCTCTCAGATGATGCTCTCCTGTCTGGCTATAAGAGGGAGGATGGGAGTAGTGAGCAACGTTCCAGAGTCTGCTCAGGCAAGGAAGGAAACACAGGTGAGTAAAATGGCAGCCAAGCCAGAATGCTACAAACCAGAAAAGTCAGTATGGAACCCTGACACCTTACCCCTGAGGTCTCTTGATTAGTGACTCCCTCCGTGTTGTCCTGCTCCCCAGGGGTTGCCCCTATTTGTACATGTTACTTGCAGGTGGTGGTGGGGGTGTTTATGGTTGTGGTGTTTTAGTGCAGCTAATAAATTATAGTTTGAAAGCATTTGTGGTCACATATTGGTTCTCTTGTATAGATACCTGCACGTGGTGTGCTGGACACCCGTGCACGGTATCGTGACATCACCATCGATCATGTTTAACCTCACTGGCAGTAATCCAGAGTGTGGCTCGGGGTTAATTTTCAGTACCAAAAGTGGTAACCCCCAAGCCACACTCGGGATTACACTGTAGTGCCACTTACCTTGTCCCTACGAGCCCCTGGTGTCCTCCCGCTGTGTCCTTCGGCCGATGCCGTCTTCCGGGTTCCTTCCCTGCGAGCGCCAGCGTCGCAGGGGGGGGCGAAACCGGTGGGAAATTCAAAAGTAAAAAGTGAACACAACATGACATACACACAATACATTGTAATCTGTTATGATTACATTACTGTACCAAACCATTTCACCTCGGTTTTGTCCCTAGAGCTCTGTCCAGTGCCCTGGCTGCACTTTTACCGTTCTTTCTGCCTGGAAACTTGAGAACGTCCATGGCATCCAAAATTATTGCACCCTTGTTTGGACAAATTTCAGTGTTTTTGGTTTGATTACATTATTGAATTACATTTATTATTATTATAATATTATTATTTTTTATAATTATTTATGATATTATAATTTATGATTTCGTGTTTTCAAACTTTATCATACCCGGGATGTCTACTAGACTCTTGTTTGGACAGATTTAAGTGACTTATTCCTAAGAATTACAGGCCTACAATATAAAACAACAAATTTCCATGCAAAACAATGTACCGCTCTGACAATCAAAAATACTGACATAATCAGACCGCTAGGGAGGTTAATGTCTTATTATCTCTGGTGTTTTAAACATATTTCCATTGTTAGGTTAGAAAAATATGTCCATCAAGTTCAACCAAAATACAAAGAAAAAAAAAGAATTTGGTGAACTGGCGTCCATCAATATTTCTCTTGATAATATTTTCTCTAAAAAATGTGTAGACCTTATTATGTTGTTGGAAGATGTTCTTAAATTTTTCAACTCAATGATACATTTTTTTGAAGTACTTTTCCTTGACTTCTAAAAAATGTCAGTAATTTAGGTAAAACAGCCGTACCAGCTTTCCCAATGTGATATTTACAACCAATTTTTGCTTTATTTTTTAGGTCCAGAAGAAGGCAAGAAATCTTCTGAGTTTGATGGTGGGTATGAAGAAGGGTTGAGCCAGGCCGCCACTTTCTTGAATTCCACCGCAACCATCTGTGAGAGGAAAAGGGACTACGTTGTTGAAAAGCTTTGTCAACACATGGAGGAGAAAAGCCCCAATAATTGGGAGGACTCCATGTCAGATGAATCTTTCACTGTTGACCACAACCAACACCTACCAAGCTCTCCACAAACCCAAAGACTTTCAAAAGACCGTTTAACAATTTACCCCGAAAACCATCCCTGCCAACCCTTCCTTCACTACCCTTCTCCCTCCAGCTCATCAGAAACACCCACTTTCGGACAGCTCCAACAGTCCACAACACACACAGTCCAAGCTAACAGCTGCAGAAAGACTGTTCAAAGGACTCTCTTCCCTCCTACTGGTCCTTCTCCCCCTCTCGCCCCAACGCTTGTGTGGAGGCCTTGGCCTTAGACTGTTATTTATTCTATTTGTTGTTTGTTTTTGTAAATAGTCTTTGTAAATTTAAATTATATTTTTAACCTTTGTACGGTGCTCATGTGTTCCTGAACTGCAATGTTCACTGTAAATTAAAGATATATAAATGATGGAGACTTTGTTTATAAAATTATTTTTTAAGAATTTTTGGCATTCCGGTTTATTTCCATTGCCTAAAGGCCTCTAAAGGTTGAAGGTCCAGTTGTACATTCGTCAACAACCAGGTAATGGAGCACCTACATAAACAATCAATTCGATTTCTATCCAGTCAGGTGGGATCTCACACTATATACATTATATTGCCAAAAGTATTGGGACGCCAGCCTTTACATGCTCATGACCTTTAATGGCACCCCAGTCTTAGTCCGTAGAGTTCATTTGGACCATTTGTGAGGTCAGTTACTGATGTTGGGGGAGAAGGCCCGGCTCGCAGTCATCCCAAAGGTGTTCTATGGGGTTGAGGTCAGAACTCTGTGCAGGCCAGTCAAGTCCCTCCACCCCAAACTCCCCCATCCATGTCTGTATGGACTTTGCTTTGTGCACTGGTGCTCAGTCATGTTGGAACAGGAAGGGGCCACCCCCAAACATTGATATATCTTAAAGGGACACTGTCATTACAGGGTCGAAATATAAACCATCCCCAGCCTAAAAAAGAAGATGATATATACTTACCATTCCAGGAGCCCATGTATTGAAACTGCTTTTTTGCTGATCCCTGATGGCTTCCAGTATCCAACACTTCCGAGTGTATTGAATATCTGCTCCCCCTACCACATGCTGTGGTTCAGCCTGCTGGCTCGTGGAGCAGGTTTTCGCTTTACACCTGGAACTGTTATATATCTGCAGTGGTCGGGGATCAGCAACACAGTAGAGTTCCAATACATGGGCCACGGGAAAGATAAGCATATGGCATCTTCTTTTACAGGCCGGGGTTGCCCGGCCTGTAGGGACTTGATCACTTTAAGGAGTATCACTTTAAGGAGTATCTAAACCCCAAAACAATTTAACAAAACAAAACTATTTAAGGAGTATCTAAACCCCAAAACAAGGATTTAAAGGCTATGTTTACTTTTCTGACCATATCATGTTAGGCCCAGGTGTGTAACATGAAACATGATCACATTGCAATCCACCCTCAACCCACCCCAGAAAGAGGTAATTTTGGTGTTTTGCCGTCCTGGCATTTTTATTTGCTATTTATAAAGCACTTTTGTCAAATTGTTGGGTCTTTTTTCCTTTATATAGGAAGATATTTAAAAAATCTCAGTGGTTATTCATTTATTTGGGTAAAGTGTTGTACACAGGGCCGGATTTCCCACAAGGCCACCGATGCCTGGCCTCCAGACGGCATAGGCTCTGGGCGAGTAGCTTTTTTTTACATTTACACCTGCGCTGGGCAAGCAGGGTTAAATGTAGAGCAGGGAAGTGGGTGATTTAGTACCGATGCCGCCAAGATCACTAGTAATATGCCTGCAGGTCTGATCACCCCCCACCCGCCCTCCATGGTCCGCCCCCACCTTCGGCTGCCTCTGTCTCTGCTGGCCAGGTAGTTCAGGATGGAGAGTGGGCAGCAGAGTGGAGAACATCCATTCTTCACTCTGCTCCATGTAAACACTGAGACACAGGAGAGCTTCACTTGCAGTCTTCCTATCTCAGCTGTCACAGGGGTTCCCGCCAGATACCTCTCTCCCCGCCAGCCACCTCTCTCCTCGCTGACCATCTCCCTCCTCACTGTGGTTTTTGAGGTCCCTCGCTCTTTTGCGGGATCCGGGACCACAGCAAGGTAATTCAGGATGGAGAGCGGGGAGCAGAGTAGGGCGTTCTCTGCTCTGCTCCATGTAAACACTGAGAGGGGAGAGCTGCACTCTCAGTCTCCCCCTCTCAGCTGCCACAGAAGTTCCAGCACAGTGCTGTTCTAGAACTCCTATGTTGGAGGTGGCAGGTTTAATAAAGAGAACTTGTCACCTCCAAATGCTATCACACAGGGGCTTGTTAGCTCCGGTGTGATAGCAATAAAGTTAAGAGAAACATTTTTTATAAAATAAAAATAAAAATGGATAAAAAGGAAAACAAAAAATAAAATAAATAAAAAATTAAAAAATAAGTAAAAAACTAAATAAATAATTAAAATGAAAAATACATAAGTGATAAAAAAGTAAAAGATACTAAGATAAATACCAACTTAAAAAAAGTAGACAGAATAAATAACAATTAAAAAAAATAAAAAAAAAGTGATAAAAAGTAAAAAAAAGAATTAAAACCAACCCTGCCACCCCAACTATCTGGTTACATAGTTACATAGTAAGTCAGGTTGAAAAAAGACACAAGTCCTACCCACTTTGACTCACTGATGCACTCGGTCACACCACATTGCATTTTCTGCACAACGCCTCTTGGACAGACCTTATGGCTAGTCCGGGGCAATATTTTTGCACTCCGGCCCCTAAGGCCTGTCAGCGTGGTGCACTGGCACTTTAGTATCAGTTATTGCACTCTATGCATGATTGGCTTTTTTCCAAAGCATTGACCCACAGATGCAGCGGGTGCAGGTTCCTTCGGGGCCTTTTACTGATGTGGGGAGGAGATTCTGTGCCCTTATATAGGGTTCTCTGTCTCCTCCCAACCCAGGGGGGTCTCTCTTCGGGAGAGCCCCCTACCTAGTATTGTGTGGGACCTGTTTCGGCAGGTCCCCAAAGGATCGGGGTCCACCGGCATTCGGGTTGGTGGACCAATAGTCTCAACCCCTTTCAGGAGCCTTGCGCCCCTGGGGGTCGGGAATCGAGGTCCCTTCTTTATGAAGGACCAAGCACCCTTGTGCACGTTTTTGTGTGCTGTGATTTCACGGTTCACTTTTTTTGTTCACAGGGGGAAGTTTGTTTTATGATGCACGTCCACGGGGCTTAAAAAAAAAAAAAAAGGAAAAAAGACACAAGTCCATCAAGTTCAACCTATAGAGGTATAAAATGTTTACTGCATTGGCCGGGAATCGAACCCGGGCCTCCCGCGTGGCAGGCGAGAATTCTACCACTGAACCACCAATGCATCTGTCCATACAAATGAAACTTTCCACTTACTCATTTACTGACCATCTCACTGCAAAGAGTGGTAAGTGTCCGTTGCCACTCCCCACAGGGATCAATCCTGGCTGCAGCACTCACAGCATAAATCAGGCAATAGCCCTCTATATGCGTGGAGTGGAGAATTCTACCACTGAACTACCAATGCCTTACCTTGCTTGTCGTTGCCATTCTCCATTGGCAGGGTGGGGGGTACATGGAGGAACCTGGCTTTGGGGGAGCAGATAGCAAATAAGCTATTGCTTCCTGTGCTATCTGCCATCATTTCAGGGGGGCGGAGGGCACCTCCCTGAAATGAGAAGGGCACCTCCCTGAAACCTCAACTTCAACTTCCAGTATCAGGAAGCAAGTTGGCGAGTAATTACACACTGCCCGGCTTCCTTAATAGGACTTCCGAAATCGACGCGTACCGGAAAAAAATATTGGTACTCGATACTGAAAACCGATATGGGTATATCCCTAGTTGATATGCAACCTATGTTTTAGATCATTTTAGAATTGTATTACGATTATGTCCAGTGGTCTGGTCATATTAAACTATAATGTCCTAAGCCTGTATAACGTGAATATAAATAATGCCATAATTGTATGTAATGCTTGTGTCAAGTGGTCATGTTACATTGGGCTTGTGTATTGTTTTATATCTGTATAGTGTGTCCTAGTGTCATCATGTTCAGGGGTCAAGTCATATACTTTGACTCTATTCACCATCGGAAGGCCAGGTCCAGGTCACAGAAATTTCACAACAAATACACAAAGACCTGCACAACGTTTCCCACGGCTCCTGGACTGGATGCTTTAGGAGTGTGGTAGGTTTGGAAACTCGGGCAAATGGCCCCAGTTGTGAGTCATGAGGCAGACACCTCTCCATTCCTCCTGACACTTCTCCAAACCTTTACCAAGTGTGACAACAACAGAAGGACAGGCAAGACCTTCAAGACATCAAAGTAACCTCAGGTTCAAGGGAGGAGATAGGGGATGCTGGAATTTTCCACTAGTCAATAGGTACTCAACACATTTTGTTTTTCTTCAATCATTATAAAGTCATTTGACTATAGCTATCTAAAGGGCAGGGGAACATATTACACAGTGGGTAGTGCTTGATTCCCGAAGTCTAACAGGGTTATTCACAAAAGGGTGAAGGGTAGAAGTGAACTATCCAGGACACCATAGTATGCTCACCATACTTTATATGCCACATTGTTCCCTCAGGTGAATGGAGGAGCATGAAAGTGAAGTTAAGAAAATTGTTTGCCTGAGATTGATTTTCCTTTGCTTCTGCTTCTGTGGGCCACCACAAGCAGTGCTCTCTATATGCAGTTCATTAGACCTGTTGCTTTGTCCTATATGGGCATGTGGGTATAAGAGTTTTTTTCATACTATACAGTAGGTAGGCACACTCAGAACTGGGAAGCTTGCAAATTGGCCTGGGAAGGGGGAAGAGCAATCACAGACCGTTTCTCTGGAAAAGAGCATTCAGCCTAAAAAGGCATCCAGCATGGATGATCAATAGTTCCCCAGCCATTGGTCAGCCACTGGAGCCTGCTGCTGTCTGCTGATACCCATAACTCTGAGGATTGTCTCCTTAGCCAGTCAAAATTGTCACCATTTTATTCATCCTTTGTTACATACAATGCTGATAATCACCTGCTGCCTCTTCTGCAACGATTTCCTTTTTCCCTGACTCCAGCAATGGCTGCATGGTATTTCCCAGGCCGGATTTCCTTTTTAATAAAGTTGCAGATTTCAAAATATAAAAAAAAGACTTTTGAAATTATATTAACAAGTCAAACCCTATGTGATATTTTAGCGATTGTGTTACATATACTATAAAGCTGTAAATTCAGGTCAGCTTTTTAATTCCCTACCACTCTCCTTTGCAATTGGCTTATGTGGCCA